CTTTGAAAAAATGTATAAATTTCCTATAAATCTGTTTTAAATATTTAATAAGTATTATTTTTAATTGATTAAAAATTAAAATAAGAAAATGCATTTTTACGTTTTTTTACGCATATGAGGGCATTTCGCCTTTTAGAACACTGATAGAAACCATCCATTTGAATGAATGCTACCAACTAATCAAAGGTTGGGGATCAAGTTGCACAAAAAAGAATGAGGACTAAATCGTAAAAAAGAAATGTTGGTATTTAGCTCTGTTTGTTGTAGCTAAAAATTAGATTTTTAAATTTTAATAAAAATTGATGAAGTGTGTGGTTAAATAGTTATGGACATAAAAAATATATGATTAAAATTAATTGTTGATTTATATTAAAATCTTGATTTTAGTTCGGCTACAAAATTTGGAATATAACTTGTGCGATTAAAAATTGATTTTGATTATATTCCTTTCATTTTTGAGTTCTAATTTCATCCAATTGTTTCCTAAAAATATTTAAAAGTATCTTTTTGTGTCCGAATCAACTATTGAATTGTTACAATTTGGTCCTCAAACTTTGAATTTTACTCATTTTTCCACCAATTTTTGCATCTTTCTTTCGATTCCCCGTTCAATCATTAAATTTTGCCCATATAATATAAAATATAACAATTTAGGATATATTTTGTGAGGAAAACTATCAAATATCATTATTTTAGACCTCGAAAATACACTTATCAATTTATATAAGTGATAAAGTAAATATGTAGGGCTTTACAGTGACAAGAAACGAGATAGATGTTAGACTATATATTCCATGTTTGAGTCAGCTCAAAAAGTAATAGTAAATCTAAACTCAATCATACATTTCATTAATTTTCATCAAAACCAAACGAGGGCTAAATTGATTGTTGAATTAAAGTAAAGTGACTAGATTTAGCGAAAAAGCAAAAATAAAACCTTTATAGGTTTATTTGTTAAATCTCGATTTGGAGTTTGGACACTAATTTCAAATATACATTCATAACTTTTACTTATTATTATTTACACATTTCATGAGATTTATAAATTTGCCAAAAGAAAACTAAATAAAGGGACCAGTTTTAGTGAAGAAGGTAGTGAGAGAGAGAATGTGAGGGTCCTTAAACTTTGCAGTAAAGAACACTTTTGGAGATAAAAGGTCCTCTTTATAAAAATTGCAAAAGAGATCTAATAAATTCGGTCTCTCTATTTGTTCTCATTTATTAAGATTTTTCCCCATTATATTTAGATGTGAGTATTGCTTTCAGCTAAAGAAATATTGCTCTAAATCGGTTTGCCTTAAAAGCAGCCAGGCACTGTGCCTGGCCATGATTAGGCCAAGCACCGCCAGTTTGCCTTATAAGCTGTCAGGCACCGTGCCTGGCCATGATTGGGCCAAGCACATCATGGCCAGGCACTGCCTTGTAAAATGCATGAGCCATGCTACAGGAACCGTGGGAATGAACGCGCCGGTGACCGCACACACACACATGGGGGGTCGGGATTATTTTATTCGGATGGGACCCTCGCCTCGGTTGTGAGGGCGCGGTCATCTCTGCGGTCATCCATGCGGATCGTCTAGAATAATTCAAAATGCATAACCCTGCGAACATCACTTTTACTTCATGATTAGTTTCATTGGTGGAACTCTACGTGTCCTCTCAAAAACCAATACGTGTCCTACCTGATGTTATTGAAACCCTAAATCTAGAAATCTCTTCTTCATTTGTCGAGTATATCGCTTTATAGCTTTGTATAAAGACTATAGTTGAAGCTATTTGTTAGTGGACCTGATAAGTGTAGTTCATACCCTTAATCATGGCCCTAAATTATAATATACATAACTAAAATGTTTAGTTTTATCAATTTCAAATTTAAGAACTTAAGTTTAAAATTTTAAATTTCAGATATTTTTAAATTAATTAATTAAGCATATATTTTATTAATTAAATATAATATGGTCACAATTCCATATAATTTGATTGCAAATTCCATATAATTGGTCACAAATCACAAATTTTATGTCACAATTTCAAAATTTTATAGGTAACAATTTGTTCATCGGCCACAAATCAAAAAATTGAATGACAAATTATTTTATGGTCACAATTCAAAAATTTTATGTATTACAATTTGTTCATCAGTTACAAATTAGAAATTTTATAAGTCACGTATTATTCATTGGTCACAAATCACAAAATTTATGTCACATTATTTTACGATCACAATTCAAAAATTTTGTAGGTCACAATTTGTCCATAGATAACAAATCAAAAATTAAAACGTCACAATTTATTTATAGTTCACAAATCACAAATATTATAAGTCACAATTTAGTAGACAATCACAAATTGTCAAATTATCGATCACAAATTAACAATTTTTTAGGTCACACATTATTTTTTTGTCATAATTTATCTTTTTCATTGGTCACATATTATTTATTGGTCACAGATTAACCAATTTAATGGTCATAAATGACCAAATAATTTGTGATCACCACCTTACCACTCCCTCAAGCAACACAATTGCCACTGTCGCCGTTAGAACCACCACCACCTCCTCCCGACAGCAACACCACCTCAAACAAATCAACACATTGCAGAAAAGACCACTACATCCTGACACCGATCCACAACCATCTCGACAAGCCATCGCCATCGCCACCAACATCTCAACATCACCACCACCACGAACAACAAGATCCACCGCGGCCGCCACCAACAAAACCACTGCACACAACCACAGAACAACCACCGTCTTATCTATCTGCTTCACTTCTCGTAGATCTCACAGACCACCACCACACGGAACTCCATACCCACCACAGATCCACCACCACAAAATACCCAATTAACCCAACCAATTAAGCTCAAAACCTTATTCATCATCTTCAACTTCCTGCAACTAAGTTCTCAACCACCAAGTCAACCCGTCCACGTCGACTCATGGAAAGCCTCAACTCGGCTCTTTTATACAAAGCGTCCCCTCTCCCCAAATCACTCAGAGACTTGACAGCTAGTGGAGAGAGCCCGACATTGAGTGAGTCGATAGCCAAAGTTTTGAACCTTTGGAGCTCCAGAGCCTGAGCCTTGAGAATGTGAGTCGCAACGTCTTTTGGATCGAGATGTATGGCTTTCTCAACTTCGAATTTAGCTTCTTTGGCTAGGGAGGAAGACCTAGAATGGTCTTTGGAGGATCTGGCCTGGGAGAGGATCTGGGAGCCGCGAACAAAATGGTGTTTGGCTCGATGGCTGAAGAGACAGAGCTTTGTGAATAGCTTCTGGGCCGACGGAGAGGAAGTAGAGTGGACAGTGGAGAAAAGAGGTGAGAGTGACGGTGAGAAGAGATTGAGGGAAGAGAGAAGTAGGAGGAAAATTGGAATGAAATTGATTAGGGTTGGGGATGAAAATCGTACAATTAATATTTAATATTTAAAATAAAATATCTGATTTTTGAAAAGTGAAACTTTTAATCTAATTTTTGAAATTGAGTATTTAAAATTCTGGTTTCGTGTAATTTTCCCTAATTTTTTTTTTTAAGTAATGGGCTAACTTTCAGTTGAAGAGGAGTGAAGCCCAATCCAAAAGATATTGGGGAAATTGCACAAATACACTAAAAAGTAAGGACTTTTTGATAAATTATTATAAGCCGTATTATTTAAGATTTTAGGGCAATGCACATATCATAAAATATCCAACCTATTGGTGACCTTTTCTTTTTAAAATCT